TTTCTAGATCTCTAAAAATGATCTTGAAAGGTCTTTCTTCTTTTGTTATGATCCGATAGAGCTTTTTGAAAAAAAGTTTTTCTTGCTATAGTTTTGCTTGCACAATCACAAAGTCGCATTTGGGACAAAGGGGAAATCGTCATAAAAAATTTGGGTCAAAGGGGAATTCGTTTTCGAAAACCCCTTGCCGAACCGTCGGCTGAATTTGCGCGCAAGCAGCGCTAGAGGTTTGCGCTGCATACGCGCGCTGTCGCAGAGAGCGAAGAGATTGAGGAGAGAGCAGACTACCTGACGTAAATGTGATGCAATACCCTAGCGGCACGGACTACCGCCATGCCAATTTGGGCCTGGTTAGAATTGGGTCAGACTGTATATGCATATGACCCTTACAACCCCCTTTGCTTTTCCCTGAAACAAGTTCCAGCTTGACATTTGCCACCCATGTGCTTCGCCCTGTATACGAGTAACACTCCAACATGTTCTATCACACATGCGCAAAATTCAAAATCATGCCATAAACAGATGACTTGATTGGCGCACATTTGGTCGTATAACACCAAAGTTGTATTGACATACAATATTGCACTGAACAGTATCTATGTAAATGAAAGACCTTATGTTAAGTGAAGTCTTTTTATGCTCCAATCAGCAGTTGGCCAGAAAAGCTTTTAGGCCAAGTGACTGGATTCTATAAATATTGGAAGATTCACAAGATTTTCAGGACTTTGGCATACGGACCTTTTTTCGTTCAAAAATCTTGTCTAGTAAAACACCAGTTAAGAGCATTTTTTAAGTCATTTCCTTGCCCTAAAATAAAATCGCTTGTTAGAACACATGCTCACCTTCAATGATCTTGTGCGTTCTAAGATTACGTGTTTTTTTTTTGAGTTTTATTTTCCCTACCCCACATATACTTCGCCATTTTTTATTTGTTAATTTCGAAGTTGTTGAAGGGTCAAGCGTTTCAGTCCTTTGTGTGTGTCATCACAGCAGTAAAAAATGTCAGGTAATCAATGGGAATTCTTATAAGGCTAAAGGAGAGACTTAGTCAAAGGCTTTGGAGGGTTCAAAGAACAGTTCGTTTTAAAGACCTAAAAGCCAATTCTTGCCGAGCCGACGTCCCTTGCTTTTTTCCTTGAACGATTTACAGATCGTCAATCGCCGCTCTCGTGCCCAAACTTGGGCTAGATCCTCTGCTCTGCACGTTGCGAGAAACGCTCAAGACTGACGATCTACAGAAGGCACAGTCATAGCAGTGCGTTCAGTTTAAGCACTGTGCTGGAACTGCTCCCGAAATTCCGGATCAGTATGAACGCAGCCTTAGCTGTCAGTTCTGCAGGTTGGGTTGATGAAATCGATAGAACGCTAGTTGCTATTAATAGACTAAAAGTGGATTTGCGCGCAAAGGTTTTCTCATTTCTGTGAATTCTACGGATCAAGGCCATTACTTGACTCTTCTGATTACCATTGTAGCTTTGGAGTACCAGATTCGTATCATATTCGTCTACAACAAACGAAAAAGGTTTTGGATGAGGTTGACTAATTGAAACTGCTATAGCAGTTTCAAATAGCAGTTCCAAAAGTTATGCATTTGTCATGAATATTGCAGCTTTTTGATTTCACCTTTCACTGTTGTAAAAGCTATGTGAAAGCTACTGAGAATTTGAGAGACTTTTTAAGAGCGAAGAATTAAGGTTCGATAAAATTAATGGCATCTATACAGCGTTCAGATAGAGCAGCGGCAAGACGACTTTTCGTGCGGTGAATATTTTCCCATGTCATCATCATTCCGCTGCTAGAGCCCAGAAAGCTGCAACGATTAGCTTTATATGGATTGCGCCTCAGTTTTGCTTCAAATAATGCTTCATTATTTCCGCTCAAAATGTTGTGCACAATGAGAGGCTCAAGAACCAGAGTTTATGCTCTAAGGTTATGCATCGTACTTTACCTGGCCACCTTGTTCCCTCATCTATGAAGTACATCAAACTCAATTTGCGCAATGCCTCTCAAACTTAGCCGCTCCTGCAAACCTACTTTGTTAGATGATTGAAACTATGTTTCAGACCAAACTTAAGACAAAGTCTTTTTGACGCTAACTCCGACTCAGCATGCGTATTGCACACCATGCGCTACATTTCGAATTTCCATGCTCAAAACTGCGCTTGCCAAGTTGTATAGGACAGGCAGTACATTTGCACCAATAGTTCTAATGAAATAGATTTTGTTGATGAATTGATAGTAAATGCTGTGAGTAGTATGGTGTACAAATTTACGTACAGTCGACTGCGGTAGATATAGTACCCTTGAGTTGCCGGGACTAGACAAATTCGAGCGAAACAGAGAGCAGACGTAACGCATAACTCTCGCTACATAAAATCCCGGCATGCTAATTTTGACCTGACTGCGATTGAAACAGAGCTATGTCTAAGATGCCCGTATTCTGCACGCGCAAATTGCCAAAATTCTAAACGTAGCTATTCTTGTACAGAGTTTATTCATTTTCGCCACAGCCGGAACACTGTATGTATTCAGCAAAGGATTACTTGATGTACAGCTAAATGGCTCAGGCTCCCAAACAAAGGTGCGATAGGGGGAGCCAAGTCTCCCCCTACCTTCACTTTTGAGCTGATACAGAGTGACCACCTTCACTTTTGCGAAAATTTTTTTGTTGAATATAAAGAAGGAAAATAAGTAAAACAAACGCAAAAGGGATTATTGAAGGCATATACATATGTATTGCAGTTTTAGGAACTCGCCGTCACCCATCGGAAGCGAAGGCCATCACCGCCATGGACGCATCCACTTTTCCGCCTTTCCACGAAATTGGAGAAGATAGCTTCGGGACGAATTTCGATTTAAAAAGCTATGACCAAACGGTCCTCTTTAGGGCCAACAATTGACCCAACGGCCCTTTAATCAGGGCCACAGATACGATGAACACAGCGGCATAAATATTCGAAATAAACGTGTCAATGAAATGGTGTATTTTGAAGTGAAACTCAACGACACTCTACAGATTTTATTAAGTAAATTTAGTTATGTCGTACTGCGAAGAAAGTAGGTCGATCCAGGAAGTATTTGCCAAGAACCAGAATTTTGATTGAAAAAATAACCAGAAATCATGCAAAATTGCCACTGTTATAAACCAAGTGGTTGAAGATGTCAGCAACTGCGACTTCATAGGTTTTAAAGGGTAAGTGTGGCTCTAACAGATAGTGAAAGAATCGGGTCGATTTGAGCAGTGGTCGCTGAGAACGAGAATTTTGAAAAATTAGGCGATTTTAGGCTAATTTTTGACTGCTGACATTTGAACTCCTAAAACTCTTGAATGCGAAGATGTGTGATGTTTCGACTTCATAGGTTTTCTAGCGTAAGGTTTGCCCTACTAGAATATATCTTACCCGTACCAATTCACCAAAGCACCGCCGAGATCCAGGCTCTTGAAAAAGCAGGTAAAAAACAGCTTTTTGAACTTCAACAGCTCGTAACTTCTCCAGAACTGCATGAATCATGTTGCGACTTCATAGGTTAGATTCCTCTCATCAAGGGCTTTCAGATGATATATAATATATGGGAGTTTCGCGCCTCTTACGGCATATGCCCGGGGGGGAGACTTTTTAGGCCAAAGTCTCCCCTGGCGGCCTCCAGCCAATACATTAAAATGGGCGAGGGGGAGACTTTGGCCTAAAAAGTCTCCCCCCCCCCCGGTCATACGTCGAAGAAGGCCCCAAACCCCCATATATCATATATCACCTGAAAGCCCTTGATGAGAGGAATCTAACTTATGAAGTCGCAACATGATTCATGCAGTTCTGGAGAAGTTACGAGCTGTTGAAGTTCAAAAAGCTGTTTTTTACCTGCTTTTTCAAGAGCCTGGATCTCGGCGGTGCTTTGATGAATTGGTACGGGTAAGATATATTCTAGTAGGGCAAACCTTACGCTAGAAAACCTATGAAGTCGAAACATCACACATCTTCACAATCAAGAGTTTTAGGAGTTCAAATGTCAGCAGTCAAAAATTAGCCTAAAATCGCCTAATTTTTCAAAATTCTCGTTCTCAGCGACCACTGCTCAAATCGACCCGGTTCTTTCACTATCTGTTAGAGCAACACTTACCCTTTAAAACCTATGAAGTCGCAGTTGTTGACATCTTCAACCACTTGGTTTATAACAGTGGCAATTTTGCATGATTTCTGGTTATTTTTTCATTCAAAATTCTGGTTCTCGGCAAATACTTCCTGGATCGACCTACTTTCTTCGCAGTACGACATAACTAAATTTACTTAATAAAATCTGTAGAGTGTCGTTGAGTTTCACTTCAAAATACACAATTTCATTGACACGTTTATTTCGAATATTTATGCCGCTGTGTTCATCGTATCTGTGGCCCTAAAGAGGGCCGTTGGGTCGCAGTTATTGGCCCTAAAGAGGACCGTTGGGTTAGAGCTCTTCAGTTGTCCGAAGTCATCATGAAGCTTTGCTCTATCGTAGAAAGTGCTGAGGCGTATATGCGTCCATGCCGGTGATGACCTCCAGTTCTCGCAGAAGGCGACGGCGATTTCCTAAAAATAAACTACATAGAATATGCTCTCAATACTTTCTTTTGCGTTCGTTTTGCTTAATTTCCTTTTTTTCAGTTTCAGCAAAAAAATCAATATCCAAAAGTCCGAAAAAAAAACCCAAAAAACCCAGTTCAAAGTCCGTCCTGTGCCCCCCCCCCTCTCTCTACTTCCACCACCGGTCAACGTTTTTGAGAGGTGAGTGTCCGGCACTACCACCTTCATTTTTGCTGCCCTGTGGTAGCTGCGACCCCCCCCCGGTCGACATTTTTGGGAGGTGAGTGTCCGGCAGTACCACCTTTACTTTTGGCAGCCAGTGGTAGCAGGGACCACCTTCACTTTTGGGGGACCCGGCTCCCCCTATCGCACCTCTGCTCCCAAAACGGTTTCTTCACTCGGTCTCCGCTCTCAACCAAACTTACTCATCTTGTACACACTTACTTGCTTTCAACCATTCCAATATGGTGTCGCCTGTTTTAGTTTTAAGCCATATGGGTACATCCCATTTGTAACTACAAATAACACTGATCAGTACAAATAGTATTTGATTGAACAGCCTACACCAACCTCTGACGAGGGGAACGATATTTTTCATGTTCTTGAATGGAAGTATTGAGCGTGTATCGTTGCTGTGTTATCTCCAACTTGTCGCTTGAAAATCTTGCGGTAACCAAAGGATATCCCATCTCAAACGAAAACTACAGTGGTTCGTAATACAGGTTACTGCCTACCATTTTTGTCCACTGGGTCCCGAAATTCTTCAAATCAAAAGATGATCCGCTTGGTCCTTTGACTCCTTCACATACATCAGACAACGCTTGCCAAAGGTCTTCACTTTTGGTGCATTTGAAGGAAAATTTGTTGAGATAATGCTAAACAAAACTCTGAAAGTCTTTGTCATTCGTTCTCCCGCAACTCCTCCACATCCTACTTTTATTGCAAAATCCAAAGACGTGTGCTGGTAAGATCTGGAAGAGAATGACAAAAGAACTAAAACCTATTCACAGATTTTTGTTGAAGATTTGCAAGAAAATCGTGCTTGAATAGTACAACATCATACGTTTGTAAAACTTTGGCGATAACTGTACCCTGCCATTACACTGCCTACAAAAAAGACAACTTCATCCAAATTTTTTTTGCAGCTTTTGGAATACGAGGACATGTCAGCGATTGGCGGACCGTGAGTTTGGAAAGCAATATTATTTGGTGAACACTTTGACGGTACCTAATCGCATCACCTTGTTTTGTTAAGCCTATATATACGGTTGCAAAAAGAGTTCCCTAATTTTTCGATCTCTAACTCATTTTGACGCACGTTCAAACTTGTAAAAGAATTGACAAGAAACCCAAGCGTTCTTGTAAGGCTAATTTTCATAGATGAAGTGTGGTTCACACATCAAATAGAATCTTTTTGAGACATAACACTAATTTTTTCCGCTTCAATTCCGCACTAAGCAAGAAATTCGATCGCATTACAAATATTAGGTCGGTGCAAAAGTTTTGTCAGTTTTTTCAATCAGCTGGCAAACACGTTAGAATGAAGATAAACAAACACTTCGAAGTGTATCCGATGCAGAAATTATTTCTCTTTCCAGCCGCTAAACTTTCATTGTGTTCCATTGAGAGTATGATGAGATATTTGCTGCAAATTACAACCGCTCGTTTTTACCATGTCCAACTTTCGCTAATTTTCAAATTTTTTGTATGAGATTTTCGGTAGAAGCTCCAGCAACCTCCAGATAGGGCAAACCTTTTTCCAACTTATGCAATTTTTTGCTTTTCTTCAATGCTATTTCAGAATTCTGCTAAATAGTTTTTAAAAGTCTTGTGTTTCGGAAAAATCGCATAACCTGTTATTGCACCAAAAACTGCAAAAACTACAGAATAGTGAGATTTAAACACTCGATTATTACTACCTCTGCCATTACAAAGTAAATGAGCGATTTTCGCTTCAAATTATGGAGTTTTTGAAACATAGGTTACTTCAGTGCGCACCCCTGAAATTGAAAAATACTGCGATTTTCCCTAAGAATTTTGCTTGTCTCGCCAAAAAAGGTAAGTGTTAGAAAGAGGAGAAAAAGTTGCATCGAATGGTATCTGAAGTGTTTAACATTTTATGTTCTACGAGGTTAAAATAGCCTTAATGTAAAATTTGATCACTTTAAAGAATAAATCGTAGAAATTCTGGAAGACAAGCCGTAGGGTTACAAAAAATTGCTTTTGTTGGCAAAAGGTTGCCCTATATCCTGGTTATTGAGGCTCCTCCGAAAGTCTCATACAAAAATTTTAGAAGTTAGCGAAACTTGGACATGGTAAAAACGAGTGGTTGTAATTTCCAGCAAATATCTCGTTATTCTCGCAATGAAACACGATGAGAGTTTAGCAGCTGTAAAGAGGAAGAAATTCTGCATCGGATACATTTTAAAGTGTTTGTTTATCTTCATTCTATCGTGTTTGCTGATGAATTGAAAAAACTGACAAAACTTTTGCACCGACCTAATATTTTGACTGAGAGTCTGGTATTAAAGGACATGCAAAACATATTAGCTAAAAATTCGAAAATCAAAAATCTTTCCAACTTTGTGCGAGAAACAAAGGTTTCGAATCATTTGATGAAAATTCAGACCATTTGCGGTGCCTGAAAAACCTATTATTCAAAATCTTTAAAAAAATTTTTTTGCAGGTGGCGCCTCAGAGCTTAACAAATTGATGACCGAGTCTTTTGAATGTTCCACTAACTTTCCTTGTGCATTTGGCCCGTGCATACGCGCGTATGTACGAAATCATCATTTGGAAGCATTTTTGAATTTTTTTATGTAACATGCAGACTTCCTCAAAAAAATGCGTGGACATCAGATCACAGAGTCTTATCAGAAATTACATGCCAAAACTTTTGCAATGCTTTTCCCTCCAGTGAACCATGCTAGCTAATTCTGAGAAATTTTTTTTCGAAAATTAGCTATGTGTAATACTATGTGTTTTTGCTTGATTCATCCTTGTTTGCTCTTAGAACAGCTGTACAGAATTCTTGTTACGGTGTCCCATAACTTTTTACTGTTTTTATTATAGCAGTCTTCTCCTTGAACTTTCTTTTCAATGATGTGGCCTAAGTAATTATTCGACAGGGCAAAGCAAGATATGGCGTCAAAAGTCTGCCCAAATCGTATTCCATGTGAAGTTTCAAGATGAAATCTAATAATGGTCGAAAATGAACTTTCCCTTCAAAATCGTATCTCCGCCCCAGAATATCTTGAAATTTTCCCATTTATTCTAGCGTATGCTTTACATATCGCCCATTGCTACTTTCGTATTTTTATGGGTAGAAATAGAGAAAAAAATCAATGGGGTAAAGTGGCAAACTACGCTCCTAAACGTCCTAAGCTCCTCCCACGCACCTGATCATATAGCTCATACATACAGAAGTACGATCTTGTATTTGTAAATTTTGAAGAGGCCCCAATTCTCGAGAAATGCTGATGTTTAAGGTAAAAACGATAAAAATTATAGTACATCTCAATACCTCCTCGGAAAAACATGATCAGCATATTTTTACCATATCAAAAATGTAAGCATATATTTATTTTACCATTATTTATAAATTTACCACATCAAAAATTTATTATCAGACATTCTATGTGCTATGCTGTATTTTTTCATCAGCTAAAGATCAAGAAACCGAGAATTTACATTTACCGAAGCAATGCTGTGCTGTTCTTACACTCACATATAAGTGTATTCTACTATTATTATTATTATTATTATTAATATTATTATTATTATTATTATTATTATTATTATTATTATTATTATTATTATTATTATTATTATTATTATTATTATTATTATTATTATTATTATTATTATTATTATTATTATTATTATTATTACTATTATTATTATTACTATTATTATTATTATTATTATTATTATTATTATTATTATTATTATTATTATTATTATTATTATTATTATTATTATTATTATTATTATTATTATTATTATTATACATTTATTATTATTATTATTATTATTATTATTATACATTTATTATTATTATTATTATTATTATTATTATTATTATTATTATTATTATTATTATTATTATTATTATTATTATTATTATTATTATTACTATTATTATTATTATTATTATTATTATTATTATTATTATTATTATTATTATTATTATTATTATTAGGTTGTCAAGAAAATAATGTCCGTTTTTATTTGCTTGCTTTAACAAAGCAACCATACTCAACCCAACAAAGGGTAAGGGGTACTGTTCGATAGAGCAAAGCAAGCTCTACAAGATGGCACTCATATCTTTGCGCCATGCTCGATTCACGGAGAGTTCGAACTCAAAATCTAAAGATTTCCAAATGCTCAAAAAACCGAAAAACATCAGATCTTCGTCCAAATAATTTCTACGGACCTCTCACTCGCTCACATCAATACTATCGATATCTGATATCCATGTGTGCGATTGCCGTAATTTTTCCTTGACTAGAAACTGAGAAAACGAAAATTTCCCTGATTTTCTCAAAGCAATGCTGAGCCGTTTTTGCATATGTAGTTCTATACTACAAGGCTAGGTAAGCATAACTGTAGGTTTTCAGCCCATTCCAAGCGGTAGTTTTCGAAAAACGAATTCGGATTTTTTCGTTTCAGTTTCAGTGCTAAAATCGACATTTTTCGAAAAGTACCGCTCGAAATAGGCTGAAAACCTACAGTTATGCTTACCTAGGCTTGTAGTATAGAACTACATATGCAAAAACGGCTCAGCATTGCTTTGAGAAAATCAGGGAAATTTTCGTTTTCTCAGTTTCTAGTCAAGGAAAAATTACGGCAATCGCACACATGGATATCAGATATCGATAGTATTGATGTGAGCGAGTGGGAGGTCCGTAGAAATTATTTGGACGAAGATCTGATTTTTTTCGGTTTTTTGGGCATTTGGAAATCTTTAGATTTTGAGTTCGAACTCTCCGTGGATCGAGCATGGCGCAAAGATATGAGTGCCATCTTGTAGAGCTTGCTTTGCTCTATCGAACAGTACCCCTTATCCTTTGTTGGGTTGAGTCTGGTTGCTTTGTTAAAGCAAGCAAATAAAAACGGACATTATTTTCTTGACAACCTAATACTATTAATATTATTATTATTATTTATTGCATAGGCGCACCTATGCGAATAACACAACAAACGAAACAAACAACAAATCGATCAACGATAACAAACCAAACGCAGTAAGTAATAATAAATATTCAGTAAATATTCAAACATGATAAAAAGGTTCAAAGGTAGGATGATAAATAACTACGAAGAGGAAGATAAGATAGCTTTTGAGGATATTTCGAAACTGTGCCAACTTGACAGGAAAATTATTTTTCCTAATAAGCTTATCAATATCACGAGTGACTCGGTTAACAAAGAAAACCCTCCTCACATTTCTCCTAGGTCGCTGTAAAACAATCTTACTCGAACCTCCCCTGGTTATGTTTCTCCTCTCAAAGAAGTCTGAAGCACTGAGTTTGCAGCTTCCAAACAGAATCTTATGAGCCATGACCAGCTCAAATACGCGCCTTCTAGCGGTCAGAGTCTCAAGACCCAATTTATTATTCCTTAAAGGCAGCGTCCGGGCATAAAGTCGATTTCGAGATTTTGTGCTTACCCGGGCCTATTCGCTAGACCCATGTTGAGTGGTGTGCCCCAAGGTGGGGTCCTTTCTCCGATATTGTGTAATATATATACTTATGAGCTACCTGATCTTGTATTGAATGCCGGTGTTTCTTGCTGTGCCTTCGCTGATGACTTCAAGATCTACAGTACCAATTCTGACCGAGGTGATAAAGAGAAGTTACAGGGAACTCTAGAT